TATATATAATTGCGAAAGTAATATCATATTATTTTTAATGTAAAAGAAAAACTTGATTGTTTCGTTTATATAGAAAAGATTATTAGATATTTTTTTTATTAAAAAAAATAATTTATTCATTATATATATGTCACTATGATCAATTAATATTGGTGACTCGTCTTTAAAATTTTTTCGAAACCCGAAATATTTTGATTTTGTGTAGCATACATAATTCTAATAATTCTCAAGACAGATGCTAAAAATAAATTTAAATAATTGGTGTTGTATAATTTTTCTTTATATCGTCACTTTATTCATTGATGATTTGTTTAATTTACAAGAGTTAGCAATTTACTTTGTTATTTTCCAAAGGTTAATTTGACGATAGATTTAAATAAAGTAATGGAAAAGTGTTTCATAATTTCAACAATAAAAATAAACAAATAATAATCTTGAAACAATTGAAACAAGGAATTTTTGGTATACTTTTGTTAATTTAAAAAAACAATCATAAATAAATACACAAATTTTTAATTTTATTATTAAAAAATTTTTTAGGAAAAAAATGTAACATAATTTATGTATAGTTTATATAAGATATATAAATAAATAAAATTTATTTTCAAATTGTAACTTTATATTACAAGCACGCCTCCACCACTTTTTTTTTCTAATCCATTTTTAACACTCTAAAACGTCTTTCTTTCTCTCTATTTCGAATTTTTTTTCCTAGATTTTGTTATTTGTTTGACTGATTGGGTTAAAGAAAATTTTTTAAAAAGAACAATATATATATATATATATTAATAATATGAGAGAAGGAAAACAAATTCCAGGTGTCACCGCAAAAAAAAAACAATCATCATATATATTACATATATAATAACAATATGGGGTCAGCATGACACAAAAATTTTTTCAGGGTCCATTCAAAAATCCTGCCTGGTCTCACACACAAAATGGTTGTTAACTTGTCAATCAGTCAATACATCAAAGCTATGAATGAACTTCAATAGTAGTATATTAATAATATTTATCTTTACGTATGGTATGGTAAAGCTCATTTTCATTTGATCTGAAATAATTTTCATACAACATTGCTATCAAACTTTGTGAATTGTCACGTGTTACGTGCCACGATTACATCATGTGGCCGACAAAGACGTGCGTGTCTAGGGGTTCGTGTTTATGAAAAAATGTGTTC